GACAGCCCTAGACTTTGATGGCCCAGGTCTTCCTGTTACCGGTATAGGAATAATCTTGCCACTCTCTCTCCTGGAACGGAAGCACTCACTGGACCAGTGCTGGTCCAACAGTTAAAAAACACAGCTGAGCCAAACAAAGCCTCCCCAGCAAGGTGTCCTTCTCCATTCCCTATGAGCTCCCCTTGCACAGAACTGCGTTCTTCTCAGCTCCAGGGACACGGATTCAGTGCATCAACTTGGCAGAAAGCCTTTGTTTTGTTTTGGTCCATCTCATGCCATTTTAGAGAATTACATCAGCTTGGTCTGAGGCCACATGAACATCAGGACCAGCCCAAGGCATGCAATAAGAACAAAATAGGAGGGGAAGTGAAGCCATCCCCTTTCAGTGACACAGAGCTCATGATGAAACTACATCCATTGCTGTCTCGTTTTACTGCATTAGAACATTTCTTATTAACCTCATACGCTTGAAGAGGTTTTGTTTAGCAAGGCCTTTAAGGAGGAGCAGTTCAAGAATGAGCTGGAAGCTCCTGACTAAATTATACTAAACTGTGGTGCATTTTTGGGCTGAGCCACAGGTGTAATCTAATCTGTGCTGTTTCAGAGTTGGGCTTTCTTCTTTCTACCTTTTTCTTTTAAAATCCCTTGGCAAGGGAGCAGAACAAACTTGAGCCTAACTAAACCAGACATAATAAAGCAGGACATTGTTTTCAAAGCAGGCAGTAGACTAGCATTAAACAGGAACCTTAAAGTTCATTTTTATTCCTGTTTTATTTCAGTGAGTCAGACTCTCAGGGGCCTTTTCGTCACATGGAACAGGAAAGTTTTTGAGTAACAGCAAAGCAACATCAAACACAAGGAACAAGAAGGGAATGAGAATCCCTTAACTGATAGGGAAGAGTTCTACAGTCTTACCTAAAAGAGGTTAAGGTACTGCAAGCAGTAAGTGCACACAATCCACTGCTCACTAGCTTTGAGTGCTGACAAGAAGCCGAAGCACCAGCAAAAGGAGCACCAAAGACAAGAAGCCAAAGCACCAGGAGCTCTCACAATGCATTTCTACCTAACCAGGACCATAGCAGCCTCTCTTGCAGAAAGTAACCTTGCAATTCTACAGCCAAGTAAAACAGACCCACAGAAGAGAGCACTAAAAGTCACTTAAACTGACTGAAATGTCTCACTGCATTGGAGTGGAGGCAGAACAGCGACATTGGCAGTTGCCACATCTGCACAGAAGAGCAGCAAACCACAGCCAAGGGACAGCCAAACTTAAAACCAACAGCACTCATTTGACTGCTTCCAAGAGCAGCTGATCAAGACAGCAGGAGCCCTGGAGTGGAATTTCAGATTCCAGTTAATTTCCTGGATCTGACAAAAACTCCCCATGGAACCACAGGCAATTCCCCTTTTCTGCACACCACCTGAATTCCCCGTCCTGTAAAACAGGCACCGTTCCTGCTGGTCTGTTTAAATTAGAAGCACTCCTAGCAGGGATTATTTTTAGCATGCAAGCATGAAAACCCAGCTGAGCTGGACTCTGATCTCAGCTGGGCCTTCTCATTGGCTTTGTAATATTAAAAGTAAACAAAAAGCAAAGCTGACCCCACACCAGAGCTCAGACATTGGGCAGCATTTTGATAGCAGATGAAACACAATTTTTGGTAAACAGTGAGCTGCAGATCTAAAGCTGCAGCCAGCCAACAATCTGAGGGATTACACGGATCACCAGTGCCTGCACTCAGGTGAGCAGTGATCCACCAATGACTTCAAACTCATTTCAGATATTCCACTGTCACCAAGCAATGACGCAGGTGTTTAGGAGGACAAACTGAAATCACTCCTAACCGTGCTCTCAACAATAGCAGCAAGTGCTGGGAGAGCAGGGGAGAACTGAAAACTCCATCTATGAACAGAAACTCTACAGAGCTTTCTGCTTCACAGCACAACCAAGCAGCTTCTCCCAATCTGTTGAAAGAGATGGCAAGTCAGAAACACAATACCTGCTGAGAAAACCTTCCCAAGTCCATGTTCTGAGAAATTCACATTTGCTATCAGAAGTGTAGCACAAGGCAGGGCCTCAGATCAGAGCCCCCCTGCAGAGTGTGCAATCCAGAAGAAAGAGGATGGAATGGAGAAAAACAGAATAAATTGGGATAAAGAGCATGAAGAGTACATGCCCACAGCTTTTCCAGGCTTTATGTACCCCAAAGGCACACAAAATGTTCTCTGTTTTGCTTACCAGCCTCAGCATCAGTGCGTCTTCCTAGAACCATGACTACTTGCATGCGTCAGGGCAAACAGTTCCTTCCTGAAATAAATCTGATCCTTAATCATTCCTTTTCTATGGCTACAAACCCACCTTATTGCAGCACCTGGAATGACAGCCTTGTACAAGAGGTCACGTTTTTGAGCCTCTCTTACAGGACCAAGTTGGTTCCCATTTGGAGTTTTTCTACAGCTGGATGTTTAACACACCTTAGTAAATTTGACCAAACAGTAGATTTTCCTCTGCCCTCATTCAAATAGGGGGAGAACTGACATCTGCAGCATGTGGCTTTTCACAGCAGTTACCATCACAGTGATAAGGCCTATGCCTGCTCTCAAAAGCCGATTTTTAACTCATAAACTAGAGGAACAAGCTTGTAAAGTTGAAGTTAACCTGCTTTACAGATGGGATCAGTAAATGTACATTATTCAATCCTTGTCTGGGACATCTATGAGACTCTGCTCTCATCTACCCCAACCAGCCCCTTAAATTAAGTCTCAGAAATATTTCTAAAAAACTTATTTTCATATTGATGATGACCTGCCTTATCACACTGATTTGCCCAAGCTGATCTTCATTCGGCTAAGATCCGCAAACTGCTATGATTTATTACTAATAAGCCTTTATTCAAGGCTCTGCTATAAGAAAAGTCGGGTCCAGTGTTATTACATGCCTTAAAGGAATATTTCTGTTCTTCCTTATGAGCAGGCTGCCTACATACACAGCTAATTTCTCTTATGTATCAAATCTGTCCAGCTACCAGGTAAGAAACTGGGGGATGCAGCAGCCTATTCAGGACTTCATCTCAACTCGGGCCAAGGGGAAACGTGGGAGCAGGTAACCAGTAGCTGTTGCAGCCTGCCACCCACTGGCTTCCAGAGGTGTGAGCTGTGCTGGGGCTTATTTTCAGCACGCTGAAGCTGACTGTGATGCACTCTGCTGGCAGCAGCTGACACACAGCAGCTTTCTCCAGAGTGACAGTGGCATTGGCAGAGACTGCATTACAGCTTTCTTGAAGTGATTGTAAATTAGCTGTAAGTACAATAACTGCAACATCAGTATAAAGCCATAATTACAGCCATTTCAAGTGTTTAACATACTTTTAGTCTGTTCACATTAATATCTTGACTTGGATGAAGGTATGTCAAGAATTTAGAGCACCAACCACACAAGAACAAACATCTCATGGAAAACCTTCAAAAGGGTATTTGAAACAGTAACAGGGTCCAAAAACAACTGCACCCTTCTCCGGCGAAAATAACAAGAGCCTTTGAGCCAGGTTGAACTAGTTTAGGATAAACAATATGCTTTCTTTAGGAAAAAAACAAAGCTTTGTCAGCATGAACCATTCAGTTTTGGACCACTAATGGCCCCAGAACAAGTGCTAGGTGCTTATCTGACATCTGTCATAGGAAGTATCACTTTCACCTCTCAGCCATATAGAGGCCACATATGCACAAACAACATGCTTATGGCAGACAACCCCAGGTTGAAACTATTCCTACCAAACAAAGGAAAAAGAAGTTCACATGTTTTTCAGCTACCCTGCCGCACGATGGTGTGGCTGGCACAAGCAGCTCAGTTTTCAGGGAGTATCAAGAAGAAAAAGCAGTAGGTCACAGGAAAGTAAACCCTTAGAAACTGCCACTGAGGTGCCCATTCTCAGAGCTTCTCTGGTTGAAGGTGCTTCAGGCAGTCTGCCCAGAGCACAGCCACAGGGCCCATTTAAGCATGATTAGAAATTTAGTCACATGAAATGAAGGAAGGCCAAGACACACATCTCATCCAAATGCTGCCTTTAGGAGGGTCTGACTCACTGACCTATATCCATATATGCCAACTGATAGTAAACTGTCCAACAGTGGCCCTGGAGTTTACGGGCTGAGCCACCTCAGCTATGGCAGTGTAAGCCCAGCTGTTTCAAGGAGTTTATACCTTACAGAAGACTGTCCAGGCCTATGCTTCCAGAAGCCCTGAAGATTTAAACAGCCTCTCGCTGCTAGTAGGAGGTGTAAAATTACTTCACAGTGCTGTACATGCAGCATAGTGGAAGTAAAAGTTGCAGACAGCCACTCTAAACAGCAATGTGACTTGAAGTCCAAAGTGACATTTAATTTCAACACCCATTCCAAGAATCCTCTTGAGTCAAATATGTCTCTCTAATGCTCTAAAGAGCTCCAGGTGATGAGCAATTTGTGATAGTTCTGTCTGAAGCCTCTCTGTCACTTGACATCCCACACAAATTTTTGCCATACAACAGCTTGTTGTGTCAGACATCTTTATTTGCTGTGTTGCCCAAGTGTACAAATAGTGAATGTAGTTATAGAAATTCAAAATATATTGTAGTAGAAATCTGTCTGGGACGTGGAATGCTAAGATATTCACTTTAAAAAATTATTACTCTTAAGTCACTCTCACTCAGCAATTTTTAAATATATCAGGGCCATGAAGAGACAGATTATGATCCTGCAAAAAAGGAGTTCTCAGTAAACTTTTTCTGCTATATGAAGTCAGTCAACAACAAATTAATTTCTTACATTTGACTCATTTTGAGTTATCAGCCAACAGGATGTTAGCTACATCCAGACAATTCATACACAATTCAGCTCCCATTTATACCAATAATGTCAATGTATCACTATCAACATACCTAAGTATTAGTGAAACAATCTCAGTGATAATATTTATTTTAAGCTAATGAAGTCAAACCAGTAAGTTGCCCCTGGCTATTAAGTGCAATTGATGCTTTTGTCACATTTTCAGAGTAAGACTCCTCAGTTCTTGAACAAGTCAATACAGCTCTGCAGGAGAGACACATTGTTCTGCAAAGGAAGAGAATTAGTTTCAAGTGAGGTTAACTGATAATTCAAATCCTGCCTTTCACAATGAAGTAGCTTCCCAAACAGTGGGTCTGTCACAGGATTTTGTAGCCTGTGCCAATGCTAAAGATCTCCTAGTGCAAAAACAAGCATTCAAGCAGTAAAGAACCAAAACCAGATTGCACATTCTGCCTCTTCCTGCAGGCCTGCAACCGTGACTCAGTTTGTGGTAAGGAGAGGGGCAAGAGCCAACAGGGAGCTTTTAAAGTGGGCCAAACTGATCAGTGTTGTCAAGGCCTTTGTGTCACATTCCAGTTCAGCACTGAAATAGCTGCCTGTGGTAAAGTCCAATACTCTCAGGGAGTGGGACATTAGACTTTCCTTCTTCAAAGGAAGCTGAGGATGCACAGTTACTGCTTTGTTCTCTACACTTAGTTAACAGACCCTTCAAGCCTGCCTAGCAAAACTTGGCAGAAGCTGCTATAAAGCCAGTGTCCTCTCCACTGACAAGCCAAGTGACAAGGATTGACAGCCTGATCACAAGCTGCAGGATGTGTTCCTGGCGCAGCACTCAGGAACACTGGAAACAGCAGCTGCCTCTAGACACAGGAGGGGTCAAACCCCACAGATGAGACTGCCTGATGGGAAGCCAGATGACCCAGCAAATCCTCCCAGTTACACAATATTCACTTTTCTCAACCCATGCCTGTTAAATTCCAAAGAGAACACACCTTTGCATGTTTTATTTCCAGTTCTGCCATTTCAATTAAGTTTTTGCGGAATGCTGCTATTCTCTTCTGTTTGAAGCTCATCAGTTCTGTAGAGAAGGAAAAAAAACAAAGGTAAGGGAGATATACAAAATATGACAAGTTTCAGTAATGCCCCTTATGTTTCAGGAGTTTTGTTGTGCAGTTCAGATTACTGTATTTGATCAAAAAAAGCTTCAAGAGTTAGTAGTGCTGGTTTTAGACACAGATGCAGTCATCACATGACACACAGACAGCTTAAGACAGAAAAGCCTTGTAGGAAGACAGCTGGAATAAGCCAGAAATAAGCCACACAAGCTCTGTGTGTCAAGCCAGAACATATAAAAGCCAGATACACTAGAGGAGCAGCATGTATACCATGAAAGGGTATTTCCTCTGCTTTATATTGTCCAAATATATAAATATGTATATAAATAAATGTATATACACACATACACTCTTCTACTAAAAACCAGTGTTTGAAACTTTGTATAAGGCACTGAGCTGTACTGAGAGAGCAAAAGCCTGTTTGCACAGTTCTGAGATAATTAGTTACCCTCTAGTAGTTACATTCACATGGAGGTTGTTTAGTCCAGAAAGCAAATAATAGAGGCTTATAAATAAGGTTGATATAGTAGTGATACTGCTCTGCTACAGAGAATTGTTTTTAAAAATGTTTAGCCACATTAGTTATACAACATTATCTCTACTGTCCTTGGAATGTCCAGACTATTTGTTCAGGAGCCTTCAGTAGCTGAAGGTCAGATGGAAACCTCGACTGCATTAAGCTCTCCTTTAAGCCTAAGTACAGCAAAGCATGTTTTACCTTGTTTGGCAGATTCTGAAATCTTTTCAAACTTCTGACAGCAATCCTGTTGATGTGCCTCAGCCAGCCTGACGTCCTTGCTCTTTAGTCTAGCTTTGTCTAGAGCTTTGTTTGAGTTCTCATAGTCAACAAGAGCCCTGGTTCGTCTGTACAGAAGATCCTGAATAGACAGAAACAGCACACCAGAGCCTTAGCAGGACTACTTCCCAACTGAGGTTACAACTACTTAAGCAGCAGGAGGTTTCACTTCTTTCAGCATCAGATTCTGCTTTTTCCAACAAGCTATTACAGCCTGCTCTTGGGCAGCCTTTCACAGTGCAGCACAACATTTTCAGGACAGCCAGTTATGCCCTAGTGAAGGAAGTCTAAGGGCTTCCATAGGCATAATTTCTTCCCTTCAAGTAGTTTACCCTGCTGTAAGGTGGATCTCTCCACCTTACAGAATGAAAAGTACTTTCTGAATTCTGTCAGCCTACTTCCAGCATACATCTAATTTGTTGGAGATCTGACAGTTTGACTGAAGCACTGCACTAACCTAAGTACAGGTCTCTGAGTCAATCCCTTCCTAATGCAGCAGGAGTTCAGTTGTGATATCTAAATAACAGTGCACCCCACTGAGGGAGTCTGTAGTGGATGTTCTGGGGTACCTAACATTACAGGTAAGACACTAGATGAAGACACCCAGTAGGCTGTACGTAGATACCTTTTTGCAGCATAGTCACTCCCTGTCAAATCAAGCGTTGATTAGAAAAGAGTTGCCAGCAAGGCTTTTGCAGTCACATCAATCTACCAAAGCCCTCTTGGACATCCAGACACCAATAGCCTTCACAAGTTACCACTTGTGTATTTGCACTAAGGTAGTCTAAAAATCCTGAAGTCAATCCCAACTACTAATTAGTCATCATTGATTTTATTGGCAAGTCCACGAGTACTCAGGCAGAGGACAGGAAAGAAACTGCTGCAGAGTTATATTCAGTTTACTCTAACTTACAGAAATTTAAAAAAAACAGTTCTTCCACTTTACATGCCAAAGAAAAATTGGTCCAAGATCTTCTGTAAGTGGCTGGGCTCCAGCTAGCTAATATATTCTATATTCTGCTGCTGTTTAAGAGTGTCAGGTTTCCTAGGCAAAACGAGAGTCCATTTACCTGTCTTCTTAAAGCACAAAGAATACCGTGAGTCATGCTGCCCATAACAAAACTAAGCTTCAAAAAGAAAACTCTTCTCACCTTAGCAGCTTCTATATTAAGCATGTAGTATCTCAACAGTTCAGAGAGCTTTAAGTCTTCATCAGACGAAACTCTACTCTCTACCTTCTGCAGAAGAGAAAAAAAATCAGTTGGCGTGTAACAGAGAACAGCAGAGATTCAGATCCAGAGTCAGAGATTCTTCTCCCCGACACCTGCCCTCAGCAAAGCTTCTCTTACCCTGAGTTTCTCAAAGAGCTCTGCAACTTTCAACAAGTACCTAGTGAGGGGAAAAAAAAAAAAAAGCATAAGTAAGTTTGAGATACCTCTTAGTCTGATGAATGCCAGGAACAATTGGCAGGAAACCAGAAAGCTGAAGGCTGGAGTTTACTCCTATATACAGATCCAAACAAGGGCTCAAAAAAAACTCATTTAGGCAAAGAACTGGACAAAAGGTTCAATGTGCTGGATTCCAGCCTACCAGAGTAGTACAGCTGAGCAGCTCAACACCAATGCTGATCTCCAGAGCATAAAGGTCTTGTGGAGAATTCCCCTGCTGCTATCCAAGAGGGATGAGCTGACTTGCTTATTCAGCTATGCACACTGTTTAAACAAGGTCTTGGTAAATTGATAGCAAAGTCAAAAGGTGAAAGAAGTCACCTCAAAAAAAGTAACTGGGTTCCCCCAGCTTAAAAATCCCCTACTATTCTTGAAGTGCAAAGGTCTAGAAGATAGTACAGACCTAATGTAAGCTGACCTAGTGCAATGCATGTTAGAACACACACATAAACCCTTTCTTCAGGGTCTCTAGCAGTTTGTGACCTGAAGGGAATCAAGGATATTTCTGTTTAGAAGGAGTTTGATGACCAGCACAAGTAACCTCTAGGTCACAACTGGCAAGTGATCAACTAGGTGCAACTGGTAACAGTAGGTCTGTCACAGCAGGAGTGCCAACAGAAGGAAAGTTTTTATGCCACTTGCTTGCAATTCAAGAGACTAAAACCACCTATGACTCAATCCTCTGGTTTTTACAGAAGAAATTGGGTATTCTCAGAACTCAGGATATGGTTATGAACAGTTAGAATTGCTTACTTTTTGATAACTGTAGGCTCTTCTAATGCCAGGCTATTCAAACAAGCTGAAGTATAAATATAGTCGTCTGCAACATCTGCAAGAACAAGACAAGGTTTTCAGGCTGAAATCAGCAAAACTGCATGATCTCTTGAAAGGTCTTTGAAAAGATTCACTTTTATGAGATCTTGTCATCTTATCTGCTTTTGCACATGCATCCTTGATTCTGTTGTAGTAGTTCACAAGAAAAGTCTTCTCTTGCTCAAAAAAATCTTCTACTTCCTGAAAAAGAATATGACCCATTAAGTCAGTAACTGCAGAATACAAGCTCTTCCCTATTTTAGGATGAGCCAAAGAAACAACCACAGCCTGGCCTTGAGCTTGAGGCCCACCAATCCCTATGGAAAAGCTGTTCAAGACAAGATGCAAGCCAAGGGTTTGACATCCCAAGCCACTTGGCAAACTTCTTCCTCACAATGAAGTGAAGATGAAGCTGACACTCAAATACTGATGCAGGCTGTCTGAAGCTGCCAGTAAGCTGGTACAGGACAGTCCTCAGGACTCCCAGCTGCTGGATATTTATTTCCTAGGGCTGCAGCAACACTGTAGCTGAGAACTAAGCAGTTTACAAGCTTGTTTCTCATCCACACCAAACATGATACATATTGTAATGTTTCATGACACTGTACATAGAACAACAAACTTATTGGGGAGTGCTGCCATGGCAACACAACACAAAAGCTGCAGTAAGACCAGTAACAGGAGTCTTTGGTGTTTGATCTTGTCTGGTATAAGCAGGAACCCATAAATCATGTCTGTATAGAGCTCCAAAGTAGACAAAAGCCACAAGCACATTTCCTGAAGGTATAATTCCTTCACCGGTATCAGGTATCAAGGCAGGTTTTCTTCAGCCAGAAACTTTAATTATACACTGAAATTGATCAGCCTAAAGCTGCAATGTCTTATTTCTATAGAAATCAGAATCAATACAGGCTACTCCCCTCAACTGGGAAAGCAGTAACAAGGCAGGTTAATTTCAGTAGCTGAGCCTCATGCACAGCAAGCCTGAAGCAGACAGGAGTAACTTCCCTGGTGCAGGGAGCAAGAAATAATCAAGATCAGGGTAAGAGACAAAGCAACAACTTTACCTTGACTCCAGAGAAGAGGACCTCATCAGCACTCTTTACTACACTTTTTAAAAAGCCACCAAACATCTCTTTAGTGTTTTTCCTCCGAACACTCAGCTGTAATAGAGAGGCCAAAACAGTTTTAAAGTTATACCCAGGGTTGGGGGGGTAAAAAGAGTGATTGTGTTGATACTTGCAATATAGTAATGTCCTTTACACCTCGGGTATGTCAGAGCAGGCTGATATCCAAGCCCACCGTAATACCCATACAAAAATGTAACATGTGGCTTGGCTACAAGGAATTAAACTATTCTGTGCCACAGATTTTTCCAATTCCCACAAACAGCTTGGTCTGTCTTTGCACATCTTGGATCAGCATCTATCACTCATAATTAGGTGTGAAGAAAGAGATGGAGGTGTGACTTTAATACACCTCCATTCCTCCATTTTAGGACCATGCAGCACAGCACAGGTACACCTGACCCATACATGTTCCCAAGACAAAGACACGCAAAGGTGGCTTCCTAACCAACTTGACAAGGATTTAGGAACACTGTGAGATTTATAACAGAGAAAGGTTTAAAGGTCAGGCTTTCATCCTTCAGTCATCTCACAGAAATAGTTGCAATATCTACTTGCTGATGCTGCACATAGATCCACAGAACATTCTGACTGTGCCCAGCAGAAACAACAGCACTCCTAACAGTTTGCCTCGCTTGGAAAGGGAAACAAGGAAAAAAGTCTCACGTCCTGGTCATACTCCAGGAAAACGTGGAAATTGCGGTCTTTGCTGAGCACAGGATGAGAAGCAATCCGCTGCAGGAAGATCTCATGTGATGAGACAGTCTTCTTGAAGACAGCGAGGTATTCACTGCAAGGAAACAACAGACTGAGATCCTCTTTGTACTACCTTCTTCAACACACAAAGAATTGCTTTAAGTTTATCCCATGAAAATATTCAACTGCAGACTTCTGAAATAGCCAGCTCGTGATAGCAAAGCTACTTTCAATCTCTTTAGCTAGGAAGTTTTCCAACTTGAAAGCTGGAAAAGTTGGGCAACTCCTTAGCTCCAGGATTTTCAAGACACCCTTCAAAACAGTGACACTCAAGATCAGTTATCACCAAATGAGTTGCTCTCCCAGGAGGCTTCTCTAAATGCAGCTTTTGGCAGTAGACTCATTTAACTTACGCTTCCAGCTCTTGCTTCATTTTGGCAAACTCTTCTTTTGTCATGGACACTTCTCCTTCCCCCAGCTTTTGCATTTTCTCTCTGGGACCATCAAAGTCAGGCTTTGAAGGTGCTGGAGGTATCTAGGCAGGGAATTGGTTAATCATGGATATTAGCAAATAAAGATTTCCCAGATTACTTCTAGCCTTCTCTAGAAGAAGGCACTTTTGCCTGGTCATAGGGAAGTGTGGTAAAGAGCACATGATCCAGGAATTCTAGGGGCACATTGACATCTAGGTCCCTGCTTCATGTCATCCCTGACCCAAGAGGGAAACCAGCCCAGATAAACAGCTTCTGTAATCCACCCCATTGCCAGCCATCTCCTAAAGAATCATGATAGGAAGGAAAGCCCACATTTGATAGATTATTTCAGTGTGCCATCTTGAGGCAGATATTAATACCACCACAGAGTCAAGGACTCTCACAGCATCTCTTGCTGCTCCAAGCTATATGGGAAGTTAACACAAATGCCATGCCACTCAGGTTGTTTAGGAATTAAGGCAATGGGAAGCACGGGGGACACCCAAGACACAAAACACCAGTAACGCTGGTAAAACATACTTTATGCCCTTATTAGTAGGCACTTTAGATTGCTACAGTTTTTCACTTAAAATCACATCTTTAGGAAGTACTTACAATGAGTCCTGCATACTCTTCAGTTTCAGTGAGTGTATCATGTAACCACACAAAGTCTTCGTGCTGCCTTGTAACTGAAAACTCAGGACTTTGAAAAGCTGGCAGTGTAGTCTGGAAGAGAATATATAGAAGCCCTACTGTTTTGTAAATCAGTGCTTTTAGAAACAGTTCTGTCCATTTCCAAAGGAAGCTATTCTGCTTACTAAGAGCCTTGCCCACTCCCTTTTAGCTGAGCTGGCACTTATTCAACAGCACCACTAAGGAGACTGTTAGAAAAAAAAGTACTGTTGTAGAACAGCATTAATGCAGTTTGTTTTGTGACATTTCACAGTAGCTCACTTCCTATCCCCCAGCCTTCTGGTGTCTAGCTAGGATTCCTTAGCAAAACCAACCTAACCATCAGCTACTTGCCTCTGTTTAGAGTCTAAATCCTAGGAAATTTGAGGTTTCTGCATATCTATACACATCCTCAGGCTACCTTTAAGTGGAAAATTTCCCCTCTAATTAGATTTTCTTCATTGTCAAGCCCATCTTTGCAGGTACGTGTACGGCAAATACATCTGTTACTTGCACAGCCTCTTTTTGCCCATTACCTTACCTTAGTGTGCACAGTGAACTTCACTCTGTCCTTCTCACTTAGGGCATCAGGAATATCAATTTGGAGAGAAGGATCAACATTCAGGTCTACAGATACAGACCTCAGCTGCAAGAGAGTTCACAGAATAATCCTTGATCAAGCATGAAGTAGGTTTAGCAAAGCTGACTGATCATCAGCTGAGAACAAGAACCACTGCACTACACCCCTACCTTCAGGTACACACATATGAGCAGAATTCCATTCCCAGTGCTCCAAAGAGCCTTAAACTGAGCCAGCATCTTCCTTTGAAGGCTTATTTCTTCATTCCAACAGCCTAGACCCAGAACATCATTTCAAGCATCCTCAAACTTAAAGAACAGTCCAAGAGCTTTCTCAATAGATCCTCCACCTTACACATGAAGACTGTCTTCTAAGAGGCCCTCCCTTTCTGCAGCTTAACAAATCATTGCTATTTTTTGCATAAGGGAGAAACCACCAGAGATCAAGGCCACAACACAGGAAGTTTTGCTGAAGAGCGACCATCAGAGCCAGGAGGAATGCTGAGGTTATCCTTTGGAGATAATTCTGAAGGCCTTAGAAAAGTAAGCTAGAGAGCTGCACCAGGACTGCTATCTCACCACTCTGCAGAACAGACCACACCAGCAAGGAGCCTGCTCCCACCACTGCTGTGTACACTAAGTTTTAGCACCCAAGCCCACAGGCAAATGGTGCCAGAATCTGAGCAATCCTATCATATCACAGATGGCTAAATGCTGCCTCAAGCCTCTGTAAAGCTGCCTAAGAACTGTTGATAGGCTGCCTGTTATAAGGTGAAGCTTTGCTTCCAAAAGGCTCTGGAAGCTGCCTCCCCCTAGGCTGACCATCTGGTATGTGACATGGCTCTCTGGCTGCCTGCAGAGGACACAGCTGCCAGGACAGGGAGCGTTTACCCCACCACTGTTCTCCCCTGTGATCAGACTGCTGTGGATAAGTGAGGGATACCCCAGGCACTGCACCCTCCAGCCTAAAACATGCTAAAAACACTTCCATCTGCTGCATCCTTGCTGTTAGCTAGAATTAAAGGAGATAAGAAATAGATAAAACTTTTTAAGCCTTACTACTATGGACTGACCTTGCATGCAGCACATTAAGCTTCCCAGAAGATGGAAAGGACAGAGGACTTTTAGCCCATCCTGGGCATTGCTTTGACAGCAAGGATACTTACAGAGCATGCCCTGGAGCACAGTTCCTAGCAGTCCCAGGCACCGTTCACATCCCACAGGACATGGTGGGACTCCAAACTACAGGGACTCCAACAGTAATCACTTCCCTCCAGTCACCACTTAGGACAGACTATTATGTTCCTATGCAGGCAGTTCTGGACCTTACTAGGAAGGCACAGGCCAAATAGAGGTGCACAGTTCAGAGGTCACTGACACAGGCTTGGGCAGATCCTGCCCCACTCAGGCACTGAAGGAAGGACAGGTAGAAGGCAATAGTTTCACTGCAAGCACAGCTCACTGTCGGTTGCCAAATGAAAGGCAAGTTGGTTGGTGTTTCCCATTTCCCAGCCAGATAACACCACCAGCCAAAGCAGCAAGATGCAGACCCCAGTGTTTTACATCCTGCCTGCTTCTATTTGCTGTCCAAACAGGATCAGCAGTACTAACAATATGAACTGCTGAGTCTGGAAAGTATGATAAGCCAAAGGAAACCATTTCCTCTCAGTTAAACTAAGGAAAGGATTACACAAATCAGACAGTCCTGAATTTGTGAGCTTTCTTACCAAGTCTTGTGGAGAAAGTAACCCATGATTACATGCTGTCTAGGCTCCTCCATGCCTAGTAGTTGCCTACACAGGAAACAGACAAGCATGGTGGTCCTGCTCGGTCAGATTAAAGCAGTTAACACATCACAAGCATGTGCCTCCTGGCACCCTGCATAAACTGCAAATAGGATCTGGGGCTATTTGAAACCAAGGACTGTAAGACCCCTGGTCTGCTCTAGTCCTGTGAAGGTCACTGTGGGCTCCTAACTCCAGGCCAGAGACCTTTAGGATTACAGAATCATGGCTCAGACTACAAAGGGAGCATTCACGCTGAATGACTTCAGGAGGAGGGAGTGCTTTCTTTCCCGACAAAAAGTGCTGGAGTAGCATTTGTCTCCTGAATGGGGGGAAGCAGGAAGCCTCGCTCCTGTCAGCACAGCTTGGTAAAGCACTGACTCCTTTCGTGCCACCATCTCTCCTACACCCATCCAACAAGCAGGAAAGGGGACCAACCTCCTCACAGTCACATGAAGGCTGTGCAGAGTAAAGGAATTAAACATCCATCTCCAGGCCACAGGCTTGTCCTGTTACCACAGCAGGCATCTAGCCCAAGGCTTTCCCAGGTCACCACTCCAACTCTCTGGCAACTCCTTCATATCCAGAGGCATTTCTCTGCTAGGACGTCACTGCTTCCTCCCTGGACTCCGAGCAGTGAGCAAGAGAACTGAAGGTTCCCCATCCAGTTACCGGAAACCAATCTGTCACTCCACACTCTCAAGGGCTATAATCCAAGCTCAGCAGCTGGGAAGGCATTATTCCTCACTTCTAGCAGATAGGTACAGAGGACACAGAATGGAAACAGCTGGGTTGGGCTGCAAACTGAAACACTTACCCAAAGCCAGCACTGTACTCTCAATTCTCATTTCTCTTTCCCAGAAGCAGCTTCTGGCTTGCAATGACTCCACAAACTGTTACAGCTTCTCTGACACCTCCCACTTCTAGACTGAGGACTCATCAGATACTTGTGTCAGGATTCCTCAGGTTTCTTGAGGATTCAAGAAAAAAATACTCTCTGTTCAGTAGGGATACTGTCCAACTGGTAAATCAGACCAAAGCAGAGCCCTTCACAATAACATAGAAATCATACTGGTTAACATTTCTAGGTTTCAGGACCAGAAGACTAAAAATAGATATTATGGTACTAATTAGGACACCATGATAAACACCTGATTCAGAAGTCCAGGAAACAACAGAGATCATTACTGTGCCCAATCCAGTTAGAATTTTGGAACATTTGCCTTTTTTCTATTTGTTAGAGATGCTAAGAAAAAAGAAAATTGGATCACTTAAATACAAGGCAGTGATGAGCATCAGCTACCCAGACTTTTACCTGACAGACATTACATTTCTGATGAGGCCTCACCCAAATGCAAACACATCTTGATGCTTACAGACACCCAGAGGGAGGAAATGCCCTCAGCCACTGAAGTCTCTTAGTTCTGGTGAGAGGCCTGAGCTGCTGCTTTTACAGTTCCACCCTTTGCAGTTTTACCATCAGCTCCGGATGACTCGGTGTCACTTCTGCATTCTAACAAAAGAATCTGCCAGTGCAAGCAACTGTGTACAACTTCTGACTGCTAGTGAAATATGTATTTGTTCTCAAAGACAGATTAACCCAGGGGTTTTCCACATAGCCATGCTCTTGGAAGGAGCAAGGAGCCCTTCCATAAGGGCTCACATATCAAAGTTTTCTGCTTATTGTCAGCTACCTTTTAAAAACCTTCTCTCCCCTTACTGATCAACTCCCTGCTGTCATTTAAGCAACAGCCCACAAACAAGACTTGAGTAGTAATTACATCTGGCACTACCTAAAATCCATTACATTTTACAGAGCAGGTTTTATAATTAAAGCTGTTTAGGTGCTCTCTAGAGAGCACTAAAATACCATGATGTTTTCTAGCAGCTTAGAGAGAGCCCTCAGTTCCAGAGGGCCTTGTTTTGATACCCAGGAGTTAACCACCATAGGATCTGGCCAGCAGATATCAGCTGCATTAGCTTCTGGAACTACATTTTAGTCATATTCAGCACAAGCAGCTTGAGTTTCCTTTTAATCAGGACACTAAAAGGACATCTTAAAGTGCACTGCAGGCATGCAGCACTACAGAACACATGTGAAGCATGGATTTTGCAGCCTTTGTGTGGCAGGTTTGCTGCCACCACTCTGACATTGAGTTGAACAGTCCTGAAGTGGTCTGGTTACACACAACCAGGAAAATTGAACCAGTGCTTGCTTACACTATGGAAAATGCTTCCCTCCAAATTTGTGACTTCAATCTGGAGAACTCCAGAAATGCAAAGGTTTAATTATTTTGCTTAAAGCATTGATAAAGAGGGACTAACAGCTCAGTGTAGTCACACTGAAATGGCACTCCTCAGCAAGTGCAGTGCTTTCCAAGGAAGCAGAAGGCCCAGGGCACCTGTTGCCTCTGGCTGTGCAATAAGCTGGCCCTCTCCTGCCAGAGGGATCTCTGCATCACTCTGCAGAAATGAGTAGGTCACACGCCTCCTGACAGAGGGATAGACTCTATAAACATTCAAGGATGCCACATTCCAAGCAAAAGCCTTGCTGGCTCACCCTGTTCCACCAGCAGCACACAGGACACCTCTACCCAAGCAATGGTTTCCTCAGTTGGAGGGGTCAAGCACAGCTTTGCCCATGCAGGGCAAGCTCCCCATGTGCCTGTAGAGCTGAGCACTCCTGTCCCAGCTCAAATGGAAATCGTGCAACAGCAGCAAACCCCAAGCTACAGTCAGCATTCCCAAGAATGCTTTGCTGACCTCCTACAGGGAGGCCAGAGCTGGTGGCAGGGAGTCTCAGGAATACAGCTTCACCGTGCTGGCTTCACCTTCCGCTAGCCCAAGCTGCTGGGCCAGCTTTGTGGAGGCTGCATGTCCTTGAGAGTGCATTATCCCTATCCAGGAGCTGTCACCTTGCTAGCAGCTCACCTCCACACTTGATTTCAGGCTCAGCAGCATGCAGAAGCAGGTTTTTGGCTAAGCACAGGCAAGATCCAGTATGGTCTCATTCCTTCCAGAACATGCAACAGAATTTATCCAGCAGAGTCACCATTTGTGACTGATAACAGCAAGTACCAGGCCATGACACAACATTTTGTCTTCCACTGAAGAAGATTGTTTTGAGAAAGAGGGACTACAATACATGCTCTCAATATTTTGATCTAGAACATTTTAACTGCAGACTAAAGCCTTAAAACACCATGAAGCCACTGACATTAACAAACACCAAGGTATTTACTCAAGCTTTGCTTGGAAGTCCCACCAGTCACTTCAAATTCTGAAGTGCCTTTTCCTCCCCCATGACAGATTACACCTTATTTTCCACTGTACTTCCAATCACCCTTATCCTACCCTCCCTTCCTCTTCCTACATATCCTGATCCTCTCCTGCTTTGCCACCTCAGGGTCAGTTTTTAGTTTATACTTAACAGTGGCTCCTATTTAAGTTAATACCTAATGAAGTTTCCTTTACAGGCACGAGTTATATCTGCTGGTCACACAAGAGTTCCATGTTGCTGTTTCTCTGCCTAAACAGGAACAGACAAGATAGGAGCATTTCTATCCTCCCCCATGCTGCTGCTGGAGCCCCAAGGCAGCCAAACAACCTAAAACAAGCTATTTTTTGTCCACTGAGCATCAGAGTTTAAAACTACTCCAGCCCCCACCACAAAAACATTTTCCCCTCCCCCCAGTATTCCTGAGTTAAAAAGGCACATAAACATTCAAAAGTTAGCAATTGCTGCAAGAGAGTTGATATTTGACCTTCCCCTCCAGCATTCTCCAAGGGCAGACACTTTAATACAACGAGTTTCACATGCAGCAGAAAAGAGTTAGAGCACTGGCCAGCTCACAGCTCAAAGCAAGCTACTAGAAAATGCTTCTTCTACAAGCTCTTGCCTGCCTTACTGACTCAGGATTGTTTCAAGACAAGATTCATATGGAAAAGAAGCAGAGAAAAGGAAATTATCCAGAAATCAATAAAGGCTATTGTATTTCTAGCCCTCAAGTTAGTTAATAGACATGCTCCAAAAAGTTGGAGAAAACACAGACTGAAGAGACTTTCAGCACGCCTAACAGCTTAAAGCAAAGTCATCTTCCTGCCAGTGAAGCTTAGTCACAATGCAAAACCACATGCAGATGTGACAATATGAAAGGCAAATAGGCAACTTGCTGACTCTTACAGGGCTGCCTTGCCTTCTTTTCAAGGTGTGTTGAGGGTAGTTATTAAACCAGGGAGTTTAGGTAGGTTAACCCAAGCAGCTCGTCTAGTAGAAGAGATAATTCTAATCACTACCTACCCTACATAAACATTAATTCACAAAGTTCCTGTTTTGGCATTTCACTTGCATTTCCTCTGAGAAGTTGAGAGTCTTAACACTAGGAAACACCCTGTGCTGCTTTAAAAGAAAGACACGAAGCTTCTTGGCATTTACAAGCTTTAACACTTCTCCAGAGAAAAGAAAACCAAGCGAGCTGCTGATGTGACAACCAAGGGAAAGGGGCACCGCAGGTGAAGTGGCAGCTGACAGCCTAATTAACGCAGAGCACACAGCCAGGAAGGCCGGTCGCAGACACAGCAGGGCAGCTGACCCACTGGGGACGAGCAAGTTTAACCCCGCGCAGCACAATCGCCTACAGCACTTCGCCCGCAGTGCCCGGGGACAGGTCCTGGCGATCAGGTCCTGCTCCTGCATCACCTGCCAGGCCCAGCACCCGCAGCTCCAGGGCTTTGGTTATCACCCTGCTCCCCCTCGGCACAGAGTGCAGCCCGCACTGGCTCACGGCAGCTGCACAGCCCTGCCCTTCCCTTCTCCTCCTTCTTCCCACTCCGGCTTTAACCCTCCCCACCCCCTTATCTTTCCCTGGGCACCTCTCCCCTCAGGGGCTGCTCCCCGCGATCACCCCGGACACTCTGACCCCCTGCCCTCAGGGGACCTCGGTGCGCCAAAGGCACGAGGACTAAGGCGACTCATATTTAAAAAAAATAAAATAAAAAAAAAAAATTAAACGGAGCAAAGAACCAAAAGCCTGTCACTGTCCCAGTGCTGCCGGGGGCAGAGGGAGCAGGGAGCTCCCTCTCATGCCGCGGGGCCAGCTCGGCTGCGCCCTCACCACCCTTCATAGCCGAACCCGGGCCGCCGCCCTCACCTTGTCCTGCGCGTCCCCACGGAGCAGAGCCATACCTCCGGGCGCAGACAACCACCCCGCACCTTTCTCTTTCTCCTCCTCCCCGCCACCACCTCCTCATATAACCCGGGCGGAGCCGCCACCGCCACACCCCCTGGAGGGGCACTCGCCATCTTTGGTGAGGGCAGGGCTCTGCTTGCCTTCATCCAAGATGGCACCACAACCCTTTATATTTCGACTTGCATTTAAAAGTTTGGGTTGTTTTCCTTAGAGCCTTTCAAAAAATACCAAAAGAGCGCGACCTGGAGCAGGCATGCCCACCTCGCCACCCTTCGGGACGCCCCAGCGAAAGGGAAAGGGCTAGGGACCGCCAGGGCGGGGAAACTACAAGTCCCATGAGGCAGCGGGCAGCGCATGCGCAATGGGAGCGGTAAGAGCGGTGGGCGGGGCGCACCTGCGCGCTGGCGCCCGCGGCGGTGGCGGGAAGCGTGGCTGAGGTAACGCGGGGCCGCGGGTCGTGTGGGCCGCGGGGCCGGGCGGGCCTGAGGGCAAGGGAGGGCCAAGGGAAGGGGCAAGAGGGAAGCGGGCTGATGCTGGCGATCCCCTGGCCCACACTACCCCCAGGTCTGTCAGCAAGCGGGCCAAGTGGCCGGGCTGCCGTGGCTGGGCATGCCCACGTCCGGCGGGGCTTCTTGTCCAGAGTGGTTTATCCCCCTCTGAACAAGGGTGGGCTGTCCGGCACTGGGATTTTCAGGCACCTGGTGCCCATGCAGAAGGTTTATTTCCCTGAGGGCACTTGGTGGTCGCTGGTGTTGGCCCAACTCTTTCACGGTTCGCAAAAAACGCTGACTTCATGTTACAGCCGTATTCCCCACTAATTCTATTCCCGGTGCTGATCTGGAAATGAAGCTTGAACTGGGAACTGAAGCCTTTTGAAACTACCCTTTGCTTCAGGGTAGCTCTGTGGGCTTGTGCTTTAAACGGGATTGCTAAATTGTCTCTCTTTGTGCTCCAAACATCCCAAAAGAAGGCGTATTTTTAACCTGATAGGTTCAGTAATGTATTTAGCAAATTGCAGGGAACTCGTAGTTATACCTTCATCAGTGGATTTGTTCTCTTCACATTAGGGACAAGGAGCAACAGGTCTGTAGGTGTGTTTAGGAATGCTCTTTTTTGTTATCTCTGAAATAAACCTGTGCTTTTTTTTTTTTTATTAGCTGGATGGGTGGCTGTGGAGAAAAAGCCATACTGGTTATTATCTGAAACTGCAGCTGGAGGTAGTTCCTGATAGATGTGAACTTTTCCTTAAGTAATCCTTTCAGTTTGCTTCAGTTAAGCCACTCATTCCTATACCATAAGAAAAACTTCCTCAGTTGTGTTAGCTCAGTTATTGTTAATTTTTTTGTTATTGTTATTTTGTTATTGTTAGCAGTTATTGGAGCTGCAAAGTCAACTTGCTTGGGAAAGTTAAGTCCTCTTAGTTTGTTTTTTTTTACCTCCAAGTTATTTTAATTTTTTTTTAGTTCTCCAGTGTGGCTCATCATGCAACACTTAAAACAATTCTGCCAGTCTTCAACCACAAACATTCTCAGAGAGAAAGGAGACAATTCCCCAGAGGGAAATCTCAATTAAATTCTGCTCTTTGTGTACAAGAGTAGATCCCAACCACTCCATTTCTTTCTTGTAAGTTATCTGCACAGACATGCCACTCTAGTGATTTATTAAAAAACACATGATTCTTCATTCAGTTGAACACAAGGATTCCTTACTTCTTGGCAGTCCTATGCAGCAGCTGGCAAACTCTCCCTTTCCTGGTGGTTCAATTCATACAGTGCACAAACATTTCCACAGGTATTGGAAATTCCACAGGTATATTCCCTAGCACAATGTAGGCTGTTAAATCAAAATTCATAGTGAAGCACTGTGTTGCACTAAATTAACTCTGGAGCTCATGATATTCCATATTTCAATAGCTCCATGACTCAAAACACTAATCTGGTGTAAATGTATTCCTTGGAAAGTGTTGAGGAAGCAGCTTACTACAAGAGAATTTATACTGAATCAGGCATCCTCTTGCTTCCTGCAGTGACACAAAGCCAGAATAAACTTTTTCTTTTGTGCTGTGGCTTTATGTAACAAAGCCACAGCCACTGGCCCAACATTTGCCCTGTTCTGATTAGTGCATCTCCACAATGACCCTTAATGAACCTGTTAATGATCATCAAACAGCAGCCTGAGAATCCATAATTTTGGTTACCAATAATAATAATATGTTTTTCCTCTTTTATTTTAAATCCCAGCTCTGGCACCTCTAAATAGAGGTAAGCACCAAGAGAGAAGGGATTCATTTTTCTGCACTGATGAAGGACAATATTTATGGATCCCTTGTCCAAGGTCTCAGCCTGCTGCTGCGAGGTGCCTTGTTCTAATCAGCTGCCCCATTTTTGGAAAATGTTGTGTGTGACAGATGCTCACTCCCACGCTGGGGCCACTGCAGCTGTGGGATCTGTCCACACAAAGTAACTCCCCATGGTTTTGTTTCCTGTGGCACCTGGGGCTCAGGCAGCATGGGGAAGGAAGAGAGCAGCGTGGAAGGATTGTCAGGAGCAAAATGCTGCTGTTGGCTGGCAGAGAGCAGGGGTTCTGTCTTTGCAGTGGATGGAGGGAGCTTTGGAATAGTAAACAGGTTACTCCAGTAGGAGACTGGGGCCTCAGTTCTGCATGGGAAATTCCACTATGGAAGTGTTACATTTTATTCATGTGCAAAAATCTTCCTAGGGCTTCCGAGGCTGCTCTGGAAAGTGTGCTGAGAATGGTACAGCTTATATGTTGTTCTTGCTTTTAAATTTTCAAAGTATCTTCAAGCACAGCTAAGTTTGAAACTTGCTTTGGAAAAACACATTTATGTTTTATTCTGAACTTAAAAAAAATTTCTTTGAATCTGAAAATATTTTTAGTGCAACTGGTTTCTCTTTGCCTTTGCTAGCTTCTAGTCTCACAATTGTATATACTGCTGCTGTCTGTTTTCTCCTAGGGATACAAAAGAAAAACATGAGTTTATACCCCATAAGGTACCTTGTCCCCACAATCCCCTTAAGTTGGTCATTCACTATAAACTTAATAATACCTCACACCAATGGATTTGCTTCAGTGTCCTCTGTGTAGTTTTTATTTTCCCTACCCCCTTTTGGCAGGTTGTTCATGGCAGATCTGGTTTTTGTGTGCCTACACAGATCTGTGTGCCTACTTCCCCGGCAGTTCTGATACTGTTGCTGTAGGGATGTCCTGTGATGCAACTTTTGCTACTTGCAACAAATCTTCAAGTGTTTCAGATTTAAGATTTGGCAGGCCAGCAGCTGTTGTTTTCAGGAGCATTTCCTCTTCTCCTTGCTCATTGGTTTTTCTCTTATTTATCTGAAGAATAAAGGTGGTACAAAGTGAATGAAGACATTTTGGCCGCAGCAAATTCTTTGTTTGGCAAAGGGCAAAAATAGGATAGTGGCAGTGTTTTATGACTCTCTAAATTGCAAATTTCTTTTTCCACAGGAGGAAAAAATATGGTAACCCACAGACTGTGCTGACAGAAGGAAGAAAACTCTACCTGCTCACAAACACTTCTTGTCAGGATGCAATTCCTGCAGATCCTGTCCAGGAAACCGGGGAGCCTGGAAATGCTTTTTTTTCAAATACCATTTTGCCAAAAGCAATTCCCATACACATGTCTGTCTACCTCTGCATGTGTTTATAGCAAAAAGAAAAAAGGAAGCAGTTATGAACAAGTTGACCAAGAAAAATACAAGAACTTGGTCCACTCTGTTACGTCTTACAAAACCAGTGCCCAAACACCAGAGACAATACTTGAGGAAGACAATTGGTTATATGGGCCACCAGCTAAACACAGCCCTCCAATTAAAGCTGGGGCAAAAACTCCCAAGAATTGGGTTCCTTTAATAAACCCCAGCAAGAGAATTCTTCCTGTCAGCAGTGATTCAAACGTCCCCATGAAAATCGGGTTACAAAGAACGAAAATGCCCAGTGTTACCCGCATCCTTCAACAAACCCTCTCTCCGCAGCAAGTCTTTTATCTGGAAAGATGGAAGCAGAAAATGATAGAGGAGCTTGGAAAAGAGGGATTTGAAGAGTATACCAAAAGTAAGTCTAGCCACAGTGTGATTGCAGAGTAGAAGCAGTAGTCTGGATTGCTGGTAGGTACATTAGGCCAAATGGTTTGGAAATCCATGAGGTTGTTTCCATTTCATGAGAGCATGTTGTGAGTGTACCTGTTACCAACGAACCTCAGCTCTGGTCTTTGTTCTGAGACCACTAAAATGGATTTAGAAATCTATGGAAAATGAGTCAGACTGTAGACATACTCTGCATAATCCTACCTAACTTTCCTTTAGTTCTCTATTTGCCAGTATCTATTCAGAAATAGGTATTTTCCAGATGATGTTATTGAGTATCTTTGTTTCTCATGTTACAAAGCTACTTTGTAACAAGATAAAAATAGGCATTTTGAACTCATATAATACTGAATGTTTAAAAACCAATGTGTCCTGGTGTTTATGGTGAGGTTTTTCAGTAACTGATTTATCCAGTGTATGTATGAGTAATCAGTAAGACTAAAAACGTAAAGTAAGCATTAACATAAGGGAAACCAATTTCACTACTGACAATTTATTTTCTGTTTCTTTCCCTTCTCCCCATTCCCTCAAACTGTCAGTACAAAAAACAGGACTGGCTTAAGAGCTACATTGTGGAATATGTAGGAGACAAACCTAAAGTAGTGTCTAAAATGTGAGGGGGTTTTCTCATTTTTCTTAGATGTTTTTCTCCAAGGAGAGCGCTTCCATTCAGCTTTGGAATCAATATTCCTGTCTGAAGAGACGGCAGCTAGGGACCAGGGTGAAGATGATGTCGTGGCTGGCTACTTGTCCAGTGTGGAACATGTCTTGGAAGACATCAGCGAGGTGAAGGCTCTGGAAAGTGGAGTTCACCATGAGACCCTGCAGTACCTGGGCCTGGTCGACTGCGTGGCCAAGTATCGGTGAGGTGCCCTTCCCTAAAACTCCTGTTGTGATGCTGTGGAGGCCAGGGTGTGACTGAGTGGTTGGGGGAAGCTGGATGGATCTCTAGGACTGGCAG